TTTCATGGTGGGTAGTAGAAATTAAAAAAAAATCAATTCAAATAATATACGCATCTTTTGAATTTTAGAAAAAATAAGTACGGGTGAATTGGGGTTTTATATGTATACATACTTATATTGTTTAAATTTTTTCGATGTTCAGTGGTTAAAGCAATTTCATTTATGTTTGGATACTTAAGTCGGATTATTAAACAAGAGCAATTTCTTTAATTCGTATATTTTATCTATAAAATTTAAATATTCATTACATTTAATAGATATCAAATTTATTATCTGACATGAACTAATAATACATATTATTAATTTATAAGTTCCATAGGGTTTGGAAAAAAGTGCAACTCACGAGGGGAACAACCATGAAATATCAACCACAAACCAAGAGTGAGGTGTTAATTTGGAATCATTTTAGTTGAATTTTTACCGATGGTAATCAGTGATTAGCCCGATCAATGGACCCCAATATAGAATCTCTTTTATGATTCTGCCTATGAATAACACTTTGTGGAATGGAATTAATTGTAAAACCAAGTTTGGATCTTTGGGATTTTTTTAAGTAAATATTTGAAGTGGAAGAAATGAGAGATGAGTAACCCACTCAAAGGCACCTTAATGGTTTTGCCTTTTGTCTAGGTCTAAAAGTAGGGGGGGAAAGTAGGAATGGCAACAGGTCGGGTTCGGGGCAGGTTTTGCTCGCCCCGTCCCCGAACCCAAAAAGAATCCTCAACCCCGACCCGATCCTCGACGAATTTTTTATCAGGACGTCCTGTCGGGAATTTTTTTTGCTCCGTCCCCGAACCCGACCCGAAATATTATATCCGAACCCGAAAATAGTTTATATATAATTCATATAAAAAATATAAAATATTATATATATATATATATAATTAATATAAAAAATATAAAATATTATATATATATAATCGGGGCGGGTATCCCCGAAAAAAATCTCTAATACCCAACATGATATCATTCAACTCGATCCGACCCAAACTTGACCGAATTTCGAGTTTTCCCATCGGGTTCGGGTCATATTGCCATCCGGGAAAACATCTTTAATTCACTTTTACCTTTTTCTTTGATGGGTGAGGTCATGGTTTTGCTTTGGCTTCTTTATTGGGTCTCCCACTTGTATACATACATACATACACATGCATGCATGAACTTTCCATGAGCTAAACCGGAAGCAGTAAGTATTGAAACAAGCAACCAAAATCTTGCTGTTTTAGATCAAATTCATGTTACAATGAATTTATTACCGGAACGGCCGCAATGACGGATGCAGAACCGATTTCCATGGCTGTAATCCTGAACCTCACTCTACTCTAATTCTTTCTGTTCAAAAAGAAGTCTGTCAAAAAAATGGCTTCCAATTCTACAATCCACCCCAATCCATGAATTTCTTCACCTCATCGTACAGAACCAAGATGGCTGCAGCACCAGTGCTCCTAAAAATGTTAGATAGTGCCCCGCGGTAAAAAGAAGTCACCCCTTCCGTTCTATAAATCGTCCTCCAGCAGTCCAGAGTGCCGTGGTACATCGGTTGTTCTAAACCCGATTGCATCATCATCCGCCTCCTAACTGTATCGAGTGGATATGACAACAATCCAGCAGATGTTGTCACAGCCTGCGCAGCCACCCAACGTTTCCATAATGCCAACTCAGTTTTGGATTTTTCCGACATGGTTTCCTTTATTGTATCAAAACCTCCAAAATATAGACCCCGATGAACAATCATCCCATGTAGGGACGCAGGAAGACCCCTGTAAATTCCCCGGAATCCATCTTTTTTGCGTATGGTGCTCAGGAAATGGTAGATGCCTCTGAATTGACGAACATCGGTTCTTCCAATGTCTGCAGCAAGGCGGGTGTGAGCAATGTCGAGAGGGTAGATCAAGATCAATGTTGTGCAACCAGCTGCAGCTCCGGCAATAAAGTTGGCAGATGCTCCAGAGAAAACATGATCATCTCCATAATTTCTTAATATATTTTTATACAAGTCCTGCATAAAGAGATGCAAGGTGAGTAAAAATGATAACCAGATGGAGATGTAAGTATACGGGAGTCCTATAAAAAACCTCAGAAAAAAAGTTATATATATGCGTAAAAGACACAGACTATTCTCTACCATCTCATAAATCCTACACCTTCGACTGACAAATTTAAAACCAGAGACTTACTACTGTAGGGGAATACCGTAGGAACTTTCGAGTTTGCTTACCATCAAGTAAAATTTTATCTGAACTGAAATAGACTGTCCTCGACCTGTATCAAATCATCTATCAAGTGGTTTCATTGAACTATTCACATATGTATGCTAGGCAAATTCATCTAGCCTATTCCTAATTTTCAGTATCACTTTACCTTTTCTGTCCCTAACATCATGGTTATCTTTGAGATCAGATTTGATGAACGTGCCACACTATGGAAAACAAAGAACAAAAGAAACAGGAAATCTGGGCACGAACGTGCACATACATGTAGAATAAGCTTCAGTTTAGGTTCTAATTCGATAACAACTTTCAGTTTTATTCCTACAACCTTACTATAATCAATAGTACTATGACTAGTTCTTCTAACAGTATGTACAACTTTATACAACTTTCAGTTTTATTTCCAGGTTACAACTAAAATGTACATCTTTCAAGGTGGAATAGGAATAATCAAGAAAAAATTATTTTCAAGTTCAAAAAGCTTTCTCTCTTTAAATTACATTAAAATCTCAGCAACATTCTTTATTATATGCTCCTATACTATATGACGAGGCCAACACAGTAAATCACCATATTAAGATTAGCTGAATATGGAGTACAAAGGCTCCTAGTGCCAACCTAAACTACCTGGTTAATGCCCTCTATTAGGACTTCAACTCTTGCAAACTCAGTAAACAAGATCTGAAATACGGATTAGACTCCATCTATTTCTCTTGAGAAAGAAGTTATATTCTCCATCAAATCAAATCTTCCCTTTTCCTCTATACTTAAACTCCTCGATATAATCTCCAGAACATATACAGGCATTTAACAGTCCCATCTTATTGACATGCATTTGGTTTTCATGCACTTATAGATACTTTAAGGCCAACAATGAAACAAATACAACATTACTAGTTTGATTGTTATTCTCTATCATTTTCTTTGAATGTACATGAAATTTATAATAAGATAAGATTGCCGCCAAATTTCCCTGTTCCAGCCAAATCCTACCTGGGTCCTATGAGTAAACTCTATCAAATTCCCAATTATCTAAGATAATTAAACAAGATGAGAACTGCTCACTTCATAGCATGCCCTCCAAATGCAGCCTATACTTAGTCAAAGTCATAAACACTCAATTTGGATCGATTAAAACCAAAAATTCTTGTATTCCAAAATCATAAGGAAAATGAACCTTAAGGAAAGACTAAAACATTAGCACGAAAGCACCCTATGGTGGTTGATATAAGGTTGAGCAATAGGAATGAGACTATAGATACATGGAAGTGAAATGGCCAAATAAATTTATCAATGCATAAAGATTTGTAGTCTACACAAAGGCCATATTGGAGCTGATTCCATTAGGGAATCCCGAAGGCTGACAAAAAATGGCCAGAACTAATTGTTACCAAAAACATGTTTTCAAAAACTCGCCAATATTTGAGAAGAGACGTTTTCCTAGGACAAGGTGATAGATTCACATGTAAAAGGAATCTTTGACAAAAAGATCAGCATGATAGCATTAATTACCACTCAAACGTATCAAACCAAAGAAAACATGCAATGAGTATATCAGAATCCCAAATAAATGAAAATAACATCACAGGAACTCAAAGAGAACTTTTATCATTCATTTCACGTGCATGAGATATATCTTCTCAAGAACATTAAACAACCGATCTATGAATAACATTTCATCCAAGACAAAAACAACCTTCTTAAAAACCTCATTTGATTCACTCTAAAAAGCTCAGAAATGAAATCACATGTTTCATTTTACTTCAAACCAAAAACCAACATAAAGAAAGGGAAAGATTACAAATTTGAAAAACGAATCGTTACCTTGAGCGAGAAATTAAGAGCAACAGAAGGGTAATATCTGAGAACGCTACTCGCATTGCCTCTCCATAAAGAAAGAATGCCTTCTTCTCTAACAGTACGGAAGATACAATCAAACATCCCTTTGAATTTCCTCCTCCCACTTCCCACGAAAGCCAAATTGCTGTCTTGGGTCTGAAGCAACAACTTCGCCCTCTCAATCGGTGCCACGATCGTGTGCACCACGCCGCCCATCACCGCTCCCGCCAACAAATCACGGTGGAAGCTCGCCAACCATTCGTACGGCCCCGACGTCTGTTTTAACCCTTCTCCTCTGTTTTCTACCTCGTATTCTTCTTTACTCATAACTTCGAAAGACCCAAAATCTGCTTTCAGTTCAAGAAAGGAAGGAAAGAAAAAGAAACCTTTTTTCTTCTACTGAATAGAAATGGTGGGAAAACAACTGTGGGCTAAAACGATTGAAGAAGCATTGCCTATTAATGGGATCATAGTAAACTCCTCTGTTTATATAGAACAGAGTTTTAGATGTCCTCTCTCCTTAACTATATTTGTGGGTGTGTAAGCTTTGCGAATGTTCGTCCCTCATCTACCACCGTGTCCCCAAAAGGGAAAATAACGATACTTGTCCTAGGCGGTTCATTTCCCAGTAGGGCTGTTTTGATCAAAGGGAACTTTAGGTTTTCTTTTTCTTTTATATATTTTTCTCGGTTTTTACCGATTGAGATTAAGATTCTGCATTAGCATTAAGGTTCAACAAGCCCTCTATTTTTTGCCAAGTGTTATCCTAATCCTCTTATTTATGATCTCATTGGAAGAACTATGGATTCCTTAAATAGTGTATTTTGACTTTTAAACTCAACCTTATTAGCTTAATAAAGAAGGGGTAAGATTTACTATGATAATCATATTGGGTGTGGATTAAATTTAAAGTTGAATCAAATCGAACATAAATAAAAGACAATACAAGTTCCTTCAAAATTGCTTTCTTCCTACACAGAATTCAAATTCGAGACAACACCGATGTGTCTAAAAATGATGTCATTTCAATAGTGATGTGGCTTTCTTCTTTTTGTGGAAGAAACTATTTCAGCTTTCTTCATACTCCAAGCATTAAGGGTTGAAATGTTGACATCAAAAGTGCCATTGTTGAATGCATATAGGTGGGTTTGGTTATCAATGGCCAACTTGGGGTAAACTCTAGCAGTGATGCAAGCTTTTCCTTCCCCACCAAAGCTCTCCACGATCGAATGATCTATCTGCAATTCCAGAACCCCAATGTATTAGTCTGGAGAAAAACTTTGAAATGTTCAAAATGAAGCATTAATAACGGATACAACATACCAGACTTCTAAGAGAAATCTTCTCATGAAGAGGGTCTACGTCGATGAAAGCTCCGTAAGTTTCCTTTTTTAGTCCTTCCCTTAGAGATGACCCGCTCTGATCACTACACATAAGCACAACATACTGGTCGTTACTTCTGAAAACGCGAAAGAAGATTACAGTTTGCTCCGTCAAGTCTTTCGATGCAAAAGCCAGTATTCCGAACGGTCCGACATTGCCTCGAACAGATGCTGTCTTTTGACTACAGAGCAATTGTGGATCCACTGAACTCGGATCCATTAATTCAGCCTCCTTTAAGTTGGACAAGTCGAAGGAAACTTCGACATCGGCCTTTAGCAACATAAAGACAATATGGCTAACTTAATCTTTCACATGTATATGATTCTTGAATATTAATCACAATTAAGAAATATAGCCATACCTGAGAAGCTGTAATGCCTGAGACTTCAAATACAGATCCACCCTTGAGTTCCTTGTTCTCGAAGCTGACATTTCCGGTTCGCTGTTTCTCGATCTCTTCCACGGGCCATTGAATCAATTGCTTACCAGTTCTACTAAGCAGAATGCTTCGAGGAATAGACTGAAAACAAATATCGGTTTTATTAGAAAACTTAAAAATCTTCTATCTAATCCACTCGCAATCATATTTTGTTTCAAAACTTATCTTACCTGAAGACCAGACCAACCTTTCTCTATGCCATCTGTCGTACTGTCGGACTCTTGAATCCATCCCCACAATATCCTTCTCTTCTTGTCAATATCGAAAAATGTCTTAGAAGCATAAAATTTACCATAATCATATCGTAAATCCGAACCATTCTCCAAGAAATCAGTATCAACGGAAAAGTTATCTGTCACAGGCATGTAGTTTCCTAGTACATAGTGATCGCTGTCATTGAAGCTTGCCTTGAGAACATGTTTCGTTGATTCGTCGAGTGAAGAGGTGTCAACTCCATCTTTTCCATCGATCGAAACAGGATAAAAATCAGGACATTCCCACATCCCAGTCCTTGTGGACGAGTGAAGAGGCTCTTTACTCCTAGTCCATGTAACAAAATCTCGGCTTCGATATAGCAGTCCCCATCCATGGCCATCCATTTGGTTTCCGACCAAGACTCTCCATAATCCATCAGGGCCTTGCCAAGCTGTAGTTGGATCCCTAAAGAACTTCGGGTCAATACCATCAACAGGGGTCATTAGAGGATTATGAGATGATTTCACCCATTCCCTCAGCAAAGGATCAGATAGATTCTTCGGCTCGGCTAAGTTTTGAACTTGACGGTTCATGATATCACTCCCGGTGTACAAAATAACAGGCTTTTCGCCCGAAAGGAAGGTGGTCGAGCCAGACCAGCAACCGTTGATATCGAACGGATCATCGGGAGAAAGTGCATTATCATGATGAATCCAGTTGACAAGATCATATGATATGGAATGGGCCCATGTTATGTTGCCCCATACTGCAGCATAAGGGTTATATTGATAGAACAGATGGTAAACTCCCTTGTAATACATAGGACCTGTTGCAGATGAGATCATTTTCACAAGATTTATGAACTTCAGTACAAACCCAATTTATGGGACTTCGTTCGTATGAAGAATTTCAACATTCTAATGATCAAAACATAGAACATATCGAAAACCTTACCATTAGGATCTGCAATGCCATAAGTTCACCATTTGAAGATTATTCCATGTCAAAACAAAACAAAGCAAAAGTCAACTGTAAAGAACTGGGGATAAAAGACTGTAGATCGAATGGTTGTGAGTAAAGCAAACCATTCATCCAGTTTTTGGGAGGCTGAAAGTGGTAAGCAGTCCTATAAGGCTGCTGCTCCATTGACAGGGATTGAACTCTTCCATTTCCAAATAACAAAAAGAAGAAGCAAATGACAAAAACAACATATATCTTCTTCATCGTGAACTTGAGCTTCAGGTCAGCCATCAATGGCACTTCCCCATCTGTTTCCTGGTATTGCAGGGTCAAATGAATTTAAATAACCCTATTAATGCAACTTGTCCACTTGAATATGTTTTTAGTTTATATAACCGGAAAAATAAAACACTTATTACTCAACAAGTGGACACGTTATCCAGAGAGTGCTGCTCTTTGTGGTAGGTAGCTTTATAGTAGTTTATAATATTATCTATGTATTAAAATGAAGATTTTTCAAGTTTTAAATGTCTGTTTAATTATCTCTCAAGTCTTCAAGTCTTTATAGTTTAATCTCTTACGTCTTTGGTTTCAACGTACAATATGTCCTAATGACAATTTTGGACCTTGAACTTGTCAAAAAATCATTTTAACCTTTAATTCGTTTTGACCTTTGAATTTTTAATTTTTTTTTATCAAATTAAACCAAGTGACAAAAACATAGATGTTAAATTCACGTTAGTTATCACTTGAATTTATTATAATTGCATTAATCAAACGAGCTCAGTGGTTAAATGAATAATTGTTATCTTTAGAGGTCTTATGTTCGAGCAAGACAACTGCAGGAATGTTTAAGTATTCATTATTAAATAGTTGAGAGTCTTTCAAACCGATATTACTTTGTATCACTATAAAGTAATTAAAAAAATATTATAATTAATTTGAGATTACAAGATTAAATAAAATGTATACTTCAAAATTACTACATGTTATTTATCCAAAAAAAAATTACTACATGTTTCCTAAAAAGTTAGAAGAGGATAAGAACAAATTTGTTATGGTCACATAAAATATAAAATAGTGATTATTAAACTTTGTTATAGGTTATAGAGAGGGTGAGTGAAAGTAAGAAAAATATGAAGAGTTTTATTAAAATTTATGATTTATAAATAATTTTAAAAATTATAATTTTAAAAAAATACTTTTAAATTTTTAAAAATAAATGATAATTTTGATATATTTTTAAAATGTTCCTTTTTAATATTTACGTAATAATATTTTAAAAGTATAAAAAAATTATAATTATAATTTAATGATCAAGTAACATATTATTCATCAAATTAATGTGTCGTGCCATACTTTTAATAATATTTAATATCCACTAATAGTATGATACACGTTTTAAGAAGTATTTTTAATTAATTCAGTACCTATTTCTATTTTTATCTAAACTTTTTAAAGGATGATTTTTTTATAATTCCAGGATCAAATATATCATTAAGCAAAGGATAACTGGTGGGATGTGGACCATTTTGGGCCACTCATGCTATCCCATGCTCATTTAATGCAATTTCAGGCAAAAGAGGCAGAGAAGGACCAAAATCGAAAGGTTAATATTTGATGTTATAACTATGAATGGGCAATGGGATAAGTCGGTTTTTTAGTCGTAAAATTAAAGGTTTTTTTATTAATTTTGTTTTAATAATTAGGAATGGGCGATATTCTATTTATTTTAAATTTTGAGATAAAACTTAGTTTTTCATATGATCTGATTCAAGTAATTTTTAATTTTTTATGATAATAAAAATAAGAAAGTGTTATTAAAGTGGTTTATGACAATTAAAATATATTTGAAACCTATTGAATAATAAATTAATTATTAGATTTATTTAAATGATTTAAATGTTGATTTGAATTCTCGCTTATCTATTTTTATTTGTTTAACGTTAACTACAAAATATTGGAATTTAAATTTGAAACATAGAATTTGATCCAATGATTTAATGTGCCCAATTGCTCCTCTGAGACCTAGGTTTGATCCCTCTCAGTTTCATTCTTCTTCAATTTATTTTCACTTCAATTAGGTAGTACCAAAATTAAAATAAAATTAAGACTGAATCGACTGAATAAGTAAGTAATTATGATCAAATATATAATTATATTAATTATTTTAATTGACACATTAAATCTTTTTTTTAAAATATTAACGACAAATGACTTAATTCATATTACCATTTAAATAATTAAGTGGTGTAACTGATAAAAATAAAAAAATCAATGATCAAATTAAAATCCTCTCATAATTTAGTGGTCACGAGTGTAAATTACTCTAAATATTTTAGTCTAATTTGCAACAACAAAAACCTTCATTTACACTTTGTGAGAAGAACGGAATCGTAGAATATTTAAAGGTTTCTCAAGAACTGTAGACGAAATCCTCAAATTTGTCAAAGACGTTGTTGAAATTCAACTTCGAGGAAAGAATATTAACCGTTTAGATAGTATTAATATCAATCTTTGTAATACTTGGGGTATAGCTTAACCGATTATTCTTTTTGTAATTAGGTTGTAAATATTTTGTGATTGGTTGTTTTTACTTTGTATTTTGACTCTTCTTTGGGTAATAAAATTATTTATTTATCCAAAAAAAACCCTAAAGGCCCAACGAATGTAAAAGAACGGTTGAAATGGCAAAGTCCAATATTCAAAAGCCCAAATTCAATTAAACTCTGTTTGCTTAACTAACGTAAAAGCATTGAATCGAATTAGCGTTTTCCGGACGAAATTAGGTATGTACACAAGACATTGTTAAATGCATTGGGTGGAGTCCTCCCCACGAAGGATGGACTAAACTAAACGCTGATGGCGCACTCAAAACAAGCACAAACATAGCAGCTGCAGGGGCTGCTATTCGAAACACGAACGGGACTCGGATCACACGCAGGCTATAACCATTAACCAGAATATCGGGGCATGCTCGATCACGATGGCTAGTTGATAGCTCTGAATCATGGATTCCGCAAAGTGAAGGTGGAATGTGATAATGCCTCAATAGTTCTTACATTGTTAGACAGTGCAGCTGAGACAGGAATTCTTTTAGCCTGGTGAGGATAATTTGCAGCTGACAGTGCCATAAATATGAGGATTATGTGTATATATATATATACACATATTTGGGATTACAATTGCAGTGCAGAAGCCAATGATCAAAACAACAGATATCTTCGTTCTAACAGCTCTCGAAGGTTGGGTTGAATCGTCTCCTGGTTCTTGTTAATCCAACTTGTCCATTTGAATATTTGCTTAGTTTCTATAAACGAGAACATGTATTTATTAATGTCTTTACTCTGAATGTTGCAAACGTTAAAAACAATAGACGATAGATGTGGGATAAAAACTATCAAAGAAAGTGGCATGGCATGAACCGTATAGCCTTTCTTGTTTTTGATTTGTCATTCTTTCACATTCGTCAAAAGTAAAAAGAGCTGGAAATGAGCAACAAAAGTAACAATGGAAAAGAAAGTAGCCCAGAAATATCTGCAAGTCTATATGTACTACAATACGTGAAAAAACAGGAATGATTGCTCCATTTCTTTCATCATTTCATTCTCAGGCTGTCGCATTTCTTGTCCAACCCTAATTCACTATGTGCTTATATGTATGTATGACGTACACAAACACACATGATTTCAAACGAGTGTGGCATGAGACTGATAAGCCATGTGGGTCTTCAACCATGTGGATAACTTGGTCCACACACTGCCTGAATCTGATTGAAACCGCAGCTGAGCTGCCTTAAACGAAAACAAGATAAGATTAACCTTAATATTAGGAATGGACATAAAGGAAACGGATGAAAACTGTCTTTTAATTTATTTATTTTCTTAAAATTTTATAAATTTATCTTTTAACATAAGATTATACGCAATTAATACCCAACTGAAATGTTACAATTAAAGATGATTTATATGTGAGGCTATTGATTGAACCTTCAAAAATATCTCACGTCATATGTCTGTCAATATATATTCCCTTCCATTATTGAGACAAAGCCTACATCAAAAGTAGTGCACTCTCCACCTCATATATCCAATTCATAGTCATTTTAGAGAAGAAATGTTCAGAAAGTATACTCTCTTTTCCGGAAATCCGTAGAAAATATTCACACTTTTCATTTCTCCTCTCTATTTAAAACTCAATTCAATTATTTTATAGATTGTTACAAATTATTTATTTTAAAAAATAATTCAAATTTGAATTGATTTGAATATGAAAAAAAACCAAACTCAAAATAAATATATTATATCCGATCAAAGACTAAATCAAATTATATTTTATTAATTGTTAAATTAAATAATTATTGACGGATGATAAAATACTCAACTCAATCTCTTACCATCCTATTATGTATAACGAAGTGGCAAGTAATTTAACTATACACATCTTACCATACTCTAATCATGGATAGATACAAAATCTTACACTAGGGGAATAAAAATTTAAAATTTTAGGAAGAAATTAATTTATAAAATAATTAGATGATGAAAATATATTATTAATTAAAAGTAAAAAATCTAAAGAATATATCGATTTCAATCTTTGTATAATTATGGATTGAAATGATAGCACTAGCGTTGACTCTGGTTTCTGCGTTCTTTCTATCTTTCTATCATAGTACTGTGGGAATATTGCATAACTTTTTTTTTTCTCTTCCTCTTGGGAAAATCATAGTTATAAATGACTCCACAATGTCAATGACAAAAAAAATTACAAAATTCTCGATTTGATATAAATATATAAATGTAATATTTTCTATTACTTTTGCTGTTTGATGAAATGCATTTTGTTTTTTATTGACAAATTCGAAGTTGGGACATGACGCATCTTCTTTTTCATCCTTTGGTTGTATGCAAAATATTGGATGCTTAATGATAAATATTATAACAACAGTCAAAGCCTTTTCACATCACACGAAATAACATTTCATATTATATTTGTGTAAAACATATACAATATACTTTACTACGTATCGATGTTTTGTATATATTTTAAAAGCTTTGTTTTTTTTATTTTATGATAAAAGATCATATTAAAATGTAATTAATTAAAAGTTCAAACATGTAAAATTAGTTTTTGTCAATGTTATATCTGTTGGGAAGTTGAGAGTTAATTAGTTTGTTCAGTTAGCAGTTAGTTGGAAGTCGGTTAGTATGTTAACTGACTAATTTGAATTGTATATAAATGGAGTGTACTGAAAT